CGTCCTTTTTGTGCGATCCCTGCCTCTGTCGAGTTTGCTTGCAGAGACTATTGGCACCCGCAACAGTCGGGCGCACCGGCGCGCGGTGGGGAGGCAACTCCCCACCACAGCCCTGGCGAAAGAAAGACTGCCTGGTAGATTAAGCCCTTTGACCAGGGAATGTGTGTGCTGAAGCTTTCACTGATTCTAGCAGAGCCCGAAGCGGGGCTGCGCCTGTCGGCGCAGGGGGGCTGACACGCTCCCTATGCCCCGAAGACAAGACAAGACTGCCTGGGAGAAGAAACAGCGCCAGAGCATTCACTCCGGGTTCTTAGCACTTTGACCTTGCAGACTTTTCGTTGCAGCTTGTCCATGCAACGCAAACACAGCCCTGCAGGGTTTTCCGGTGGCTGGGATGGATATTTCTGTGGATGCTAGCATCCGAGACCTTCACCGTGGATGAAAGCCGGGCCGTCGGTGGTCGATGGTGGTCGGTTATGTTTCACAGTTTCGTGCGCATGACCGAGCGCAAAGCTCCCGTGATTCTGAACAGGTCCGGACAAGAATCCCTGGGAGCAGTTGCCTGAAGGATTCAAGCCCTTCTTCAAGCGCCACTTGGAAAGAACATGATTTGGTAGGCAAGTTGTCCCTAAAGCTGTCTGCACCCACTCACGCCTTGTCAACGGGAGCATGCTTCCTGATCGGCAGTCTGCCGTCGGAGTTGCTGCCAGAAGGTGTGAAGTTCAATTAAAGCGCAGAAAACCTCGTGTTTGTGCAACACTCCCCACGCAAGGAAGACGGCTTAATCTGGCTAGCTTGCCCGAAGTTGCCCTGTGAGCTTCGGCGTTTCAGGTGCTCTGCAGTTTTCGGGTTTGTGAGGTGGGAGGCAAGGAAGCTAGCAAGAAATCGTTCTGCACGGGCTTTAGCTGATAGTCGTGAGAGAGAGTGTGAATACGTAGTCTTTGCAAAAACTTAAATCAGTGTTTGTGGAATCAGCTGCCTGTGTGCCCGATCTTGTCTCTTGCCTCTGGTCTGAGTAGGAGGGAGCGAGAAAGAGAGAGAGAGAGAGAGAGAACGCGACTAAGGGGCGGTTGCCCCTGCATACC